TTTGGGATCATACTAGAAATGAAAGACAGGACTGCATCATTAATGCCTGAATTTATGTGGAATGAAAAAACCTTCAACCTTTAGCTGCCCTCTGATATTTTTGATGTAACATTCCCTAAAAAGAATGAAAGTTAAGAGCAAAGATATGGATACACACAAAAAATTATTTTTATTTTAAAAGTTCATTCTTGTCTACCCTCCTCTGAGCTGCAAGAACTACTCAAGGAGCAAGATTTTTTTTGTTTTGTTTTGTTTTTAAGGGGGGAGAGGTAGGCAAAGCAGCACACAGTCAAGTATTAACCAGAGTAATGACAGAACTCGTCCATGCTGAAGAAAGGTAGCAGGCAAAAATTTGTTTAGTGTCTCCTGCCTTTGGCTGCAGGGTAGAAGGGAGGTTCCTCTTCTTGGAGGTTTCCTGGTGAGCAGGCAGCCTCTGAGCCTGCTGGGAGAAACTCTGCCTGCTTCTACTTCTGTGAGAAAGGGACTGTCAGGAAACAAATGAGCATCTATTTAACCCCAAGCTGTGCTGTGGTGAATAAAACCAACTCACATGCCCAAGGCCATGATAAGGAGAAAGCTGCTTAAGCCAATGCAAGGGTCTTAGATAATAAACAGAGGAACAAAAATTGCTCATTTATGAGCATAAATTCAATAGTGACAGCATTGCTGTAACTTGATGGGAATTTTTCTGGTGACTGAAATCTTTAAATCACTGGTTATAATCTCTTAAGAAAGGTTTAGTGGACAGAAGGTGAAGAGAAATGGCACACTATGACCAAAAAAAAAAAAGACATGATTAATTAATTTACTAGTGACAAATGGCAAAGAAATTATCTCATGGACTGATTTCTGACCGTGAAAAGTGCAAAGTGGAGTAGGAGTTTCTCTCTATGAGAGAAAAAAACCCCTACTTTTTATGGGGAATGGGTGACTGGCTCTCTCAGTTACTATCTATAATGTATAGGAGGAAAAAGAAAGTTACAGTTTTTGTGGGAGATGTTAATCCAAACCCCATATGCTGGCAGTTTCATGCTGCCAGCACTGAAGCATCTTCAGAATCACTAAATAACATTCTTAATTTTCTTTCTTAAAAATGATTGCTCCAGGTATTAGGGAAAGTCCAGACTAGACTTTTGCATCAGCAGAGGGGAGGTACCACAGTACTGAAAATTAGTAGTACAGTAACTAAAAATATTCATAACTTGATTATATTTGTTCAAGGCAAAAAAAATGCAAATTAGTAGCTTTAGCTGATACGATTTCACAAAGTGAAAAACAATCCAGTTGGGGGAAAAAGTGTAAATTTTAATTGTAAAATGCCTAAGACTATTTTACAGGTTGCCTAATAAGCCATAACTGGGAAAGAATAGGGATGCATTACTTTCAAAAAAAACAACAACATCCTGGCTGAGAGGGAACTGTTAAAACAATAATCCTTCTCTCTGTGAATATGAGTGGAAGAATGGGGAGGCTGAGAGTGACAAATATAAGACATAAAATTCTAACTGGAAAAGTGGATACAGCTCTTTCCATAGGGTAAGATACTAAATATCTTAGGGGATAAGATAGTAAACACTTGAGCCCTAAGCTTTCTTAAGAATAAAAATCCACCTTCGCTTCTCAGCCCAACTGTGCTCCTGGTCACCTACCAGTGCCATTGGCTCACTAACAGCAGAGAAGAGATTTAAGGATATTTATAGATACAAAACAGAGAGATGTCATAGCCATGTCATATGACTCTTTATCTTCCCCTCTGGTAATAAATCCAAAGGTTGCTAAATTGCACCTAAGCATTTGAAAATGCATGGATTTGCTCCAGGAAACAGAGTGTGGCCGAGAGACTGTAGTGTTGTTGTGGACACTGGGGAAGCCCCCAGGAAGAAAGGAAGGAAGCTAACATGTTAGACCCATTAGGATTTCAGTGGGCACTGCCAAACATAAGTCTGTTGGATCTTAGTCATAGGAAAAATAGCAGAAACCATGAGGGGGGTACTGGACTGATAACAATTTGAAAACAACTAACGAGTGTCAACAGATTGATAGAAAAGTGCTTCCAGTCAAACTAACTTGAGAGCTTTGTAATGTTGTTATAAGAGGTGGCTGATAAATATTATAATGTTACCATTGTATATTTAAAGTTGTAGACTGATTTTTTTTTTTACTTGGATGGTATTTGACATTTGTATAGAAAGTGGGAGTGATATGAAAACAGCATAGAACACTAAAGTAAATGCAGCCTCCTTCAGCAAAATACTAAGAAATATTATTTATTACAAAGTGATGCAAGTGCAGTCTCTGAGTACTGGCCTTGTCCTTGTAATGTTTCATCAGGCTCCTGGAAGGCAATCTCAACTTTGAGGGCTGACCAAGCTTTCTGAAGTAGTGCCATGGGTAGAGAGCTAAGTCATTTCTGAAAAAGATCAGTTTGAAAATTACAACTTCAGTTTCTCTACGCACCTGGTCTTCCATGGTAAAGCAGGGAAAATCAGTTCATCTACCTATCAGTAAAGATTAACTTACTGAAAATAGAAAAATATGTCAGATGTTATGAAAGCGGCATGTGAGTAGGGACCTGTCAATGTTAGCCTTATAGAAACAGTTAGATATCTGCAAAGGCTATTCATGAATAATTAAGATCATTCTCAGATTTCATCTTCAGAGAGTTCATAATTTTTCAGGACTGTTTCTTGTCAATGTTCTTTAGTGGTAATTACAGAAAAAGGTTAGTGCTTGCAGCAGGTCCTAGAAAAAAGACTTTAAAATGAAATAGATCAATAGAATAATTAAGTGGTTATTAGTCTTCTTCTCCCTCACTCATACATTGTACTGATACTTAGGGCAATGACAGCAATTTCTGGTTGTAAGAAAAGAAGCTTGAGATGAGTTAAATTCTCATATCTTTAGTAAGATTGAAATATGCCCTAAAAGGGCTTCAAAATGTTTTTAATTCAATAGCACGCTCAGTCTGGTAGTACTAGACTGCATGGAAATGTGATGTTTGTTTAGTGAGTTAGGTCATAAAAGCCACTGCCAGTGGTTTAGGAAATGTGCATGCTTTCAGTGTAAAGAATGCATTACTGTATTTGCTGGTGTCTCTTCTTGACAACAGCATGACCATTCCATTTACACCAAGCAGAACCAGTTTTGAGAGATTTCCTGCATCATCTCTGATCAATCAATGATTTTTATGTTTGTCAGTCAGATGCATTAGGAAATCTTGATTTTGAATGAAATAAATTTAGGGGTGATGAAGAGCAGGATTCAGAAATGCTCTACACGACAAGTGCAAAGGTTGCACAGAGAAGAGCAGTAGTCTCCTAAAGTTCTTCTGTGCCATAATTTGTCTTAGGGTCTCACTTTCAATGCAGAAAGGGAAAAATTATCTTCTTTATTTTTAGTTAGGGTGCTGGTTCAGTGCAGGTTCAGCTGAAGTCTGGTTTTTACCAGGTTCAAAGCATGTTAGATCTAGTCCTAATCCTTCATTGCTCCAATCCAGTCTTGCTGAGGCAGTGGAACTGGAGCAACATACCTTCCTTTCATCAGGCTGTTTGTAAATGTAACTGTGCTTGAAGACCAAACGTATTAGAATATTTTGCTGACTTGCTTGCAAAAATTATTTCCTCCTTTGGTATTCCATTTGCCTCCCCTCATTTCTTAAGGCATGTTACAAATTCCCCACTATCACCCTTCCCTCCTGTGGTATGTACTAGAAAAGGGGAATTTGATTTTCAAGAAAAACATGCAGAGTGGGAGAAATACACTTGGCACCTGCAATATCTCAGTATATAATCTGGGGACAAAACAAAGAGTATTTTTGTTTAAGAATAGTGTGTTTCACTGAGTTCCTCCCCCAAGAGAGATACTAGGAGGTGTAATCTCCCCTCTCTTTGGCTGAAGATAGTACAGCTTCTTTGCTTGCTCTGAGAGGAAGTCCCTTCTGACAGAATGTGCTGTGGTCCTGCTGGGCTGCCCTTAGGTGAAATGGTCTCATGGCAAAGAGGTGCAGCAGTGTTGGTTACAACACAGGGTGAATGTTTTTTTCTTGGCTTAGAGGGTGATTCTGTCAGATGGGTGCTTTACGACCCAAATCAAACAGGAATGAGCAGAGCTACATTTGTTCCCATCTGAGAATGTTTAAGCACATTCTCTGTGGCAGACTTCGGGATGTGTTATCGCTTTAACTGCATAGTCGGTGTTTCACATAACCCTTGTGGCTTTTATATGTTCCTCACACTCACCATGTGCACGCTACTAAGAGTGCTCTGAGAACCTTGTGATCAGTTTAAGATTCAAGACTGGGATGAGAAATAAAGAAACACAAATTTCTCCTTGAGCCCTTGGAAGCCAACACTTCTGGAGAGGCACCAGGTCTGCCCTCAAGTCTCCCAAAGACAGTCTTTGCCCTGTTGTAACGGACAGTCCTCTCAGGGACAGCTATTCCTCCTAAATATGTTCTCTGACTTGTTCTGTAACCAAGCAAGTGGAGTCCAGCGCTTTCCCATCTCCACTTGTCTGCAAGCAGGCAAGCTGGTGTCCCTGGGAGCAGGCAGATTGACTCAGAGATGATGCTTCTCCCTGAAGGAATTTTTGAGGTATTTTGTGCTCTCCCTGAGGCAGGCTGTATTGGCAAAGTCCATATTGTCAGTGTGGTTGTAAAGCACAGGGAACAGACACAAATATAACCCTAAATGGAAGACCTGGAAGGAAATGTAGCTTACAGCTCAGTTCAGCGATGTGGATGTCCCTCTGCCTGTTGCATCCCTGACTGGGGCTTCAATAGAGAATTTTGGTTTTTATCTGTTTAAATACTGTGAAGTTAGATGTTTTCTTCTCTAAAAGAAATTGTTTTACATAAAATACATTTATTTTACATGCTGTAAGAAAAAAAAACAGCACAAACTTTGAAACACAATTGTACTTTTCCCCCTCTGTTTTTCAAGTTAATAATTGTCAAAGTGCTATGACTAGAATATCCTTTTAAAGTAGTATCTTCCCAGTGTAAGTGATGCCATTTTCCTTCATGGCTTGTCCTGTCCACTCCTCTGGGGTAAGTCTTAATTTTCATCAAATTCTACACTTTGTGTATGAACAAGAAGGTAACATAATGGCACCTCCTTCTAACCCCAGTTGCAGTGACCATCTGGAGACCTCCCTGTTCAACTTTGGATGAACTTCAGCTGAAGTATGAGAGCCAGTTGGGCTCCATACAAGCTGTTCCAAGCCTCATTGTTGTTATTAGCAGTTTGTCTTAGTGACAAGGCTGCATTTTGCCTATTGAAGGTTTGGTTTTAGTGATTCAGCGTGTTTCCATTGTTCACAATTGAGAGTGGATCATTCAGGCTCTTGCGTTTCCAGTGCTGTGGATACAATAGCTCATTATCCTAGGGTGGCTTTTTTGTTGGGGTTTTTACGGGGGTTTTGGATAGATGCACAATAGACGCAAGCTCTTTTCAGGGGCAAGTTCTTTTCTTGATATCCTTGCACAGTGTTTATTGCAACGGGCCTTTGTTTGTTTTTAGCTTTCCAAGCAAGCCAATCATGGATTAGAGTGAGGGCCAAACCTCCAAGTTTTTGTTAAGGCTGGCTGCAGCTCCTCAACCTGTATTTGCTGTTGTCAATAGATGGGCCCATCATCACAATGCATCAAGGCACAGGTGAGGCTTACAGAGGCCATACAGGAGAAACTGGATTTTATTTTGCTCTAATTCCATTAGCAGCAATGGCTTGGAAAATGATTGCAATGAGGGTAAAGCTATGGTGATAAGGAAAGTTATTTGAAGGACACATTCTTTGTTTCTGATGACACGAAACTGAGAGTTACTGTCAAAACAGTGGAGAGTTGGACTCTACAGGAAAAACTGGAAAACTCCGATAATTTGAATAGCAGTGACGAGAAGGAGTGCAGGGTCATGAACCTAGAGGCTTAATAATGAGCTCTCAGCTCATACGGGAAATGCTTATCCATTGAAAGCAAAAGAGGCAGGGCAAGCCCTGAGTGCATTGGTTAATCATAAATTGGCTCTGAGCTATTGGTATGGTATAATGTGGCTCAGTAAAACACAAGTGTGATTCCAGAGTGTTCTGCAAAAGAATTTTTCAGGAGTGACAGGGAAATATTAATGCTGTTGTACTTGTAAAAGTGCACCTGAAATTCCACTTACAATTCTTGTCACCTATGTTGGAAGATGTGGATTCAGCTGGAGCAGGTGCAGTGAACGGCTACAGAGATTAGCACAGGGCACTCTAATACACAGGAGTAAACTGTTCGAGCAGAATAAAGGCCAAGGAACAATGCAACTGTACTCTATAAATACGAGAGTGAATTAAACACAAGGACTGAGAAGGCATATTTAAACAAAAGAACAATAATACCTTGAGCAAATAGGAGTGTGTGTGCCTTGGCCATAGTTTAAATTTCTAAACAAAAGATTCTGGAATATTAATAGGAGGAAGAAATAAAAAATACTCCTTAGGCAGATTTTAATAAGTTTATAGACATGACTATGAAATAGTTATCTATGAAGAGAGATCAAGCCCACGAGGTCCCTTTCGCAGTATGTTCCTAGGCTTCCTGAAGTATTTAGTTAATAACATGTTTTGGTTTTGGTCTTTGTTAAGCATGTATTTTGTGTGTCTGTGCCAGGTACTATATGTGCCTGAGTAGCACTCACTTTGGCACTAAAAGCTTGCAAACGCAAGTCTTAAACGCTCTGGTCTTGGACTAAATCAAGCAGACTCTGTTCTCAAAGCTACCCACCTTCAAAGAATGCAACTTAGGAACATGAAGTCAGGGTCCCTCCTTCATCAGAATACTTCTGATGATCCTTGTGGTTCCTGTCCACCTCAGAATATTCTGTGATTCTGTGTGCTTCCTCAAACCCATGTCCTTTATCTCTTCAATCTTCCTCTCGCAAGTCTCTGGCTTCTCAAGTGAGTTACCAGCTTCTATGACACTTAATACTTCCCCTCTTTTGTGTGTTTTTTACCTCCTAGTGTTTCAAGCTTGCCTAGACAACCTTTCTGTGCTTCTCCATGTCACTTCCCAAGCTGAAACGTCCCCTCCTGGGTGGCACAGTGAAGTGCCTAGGGCTTTTATTCCATACGTTGCAGTGTGGGCATTTGTCTCCCCTTTGGGATTGATGTTAGCAGATAGCAGCTGCCCCACTTCACAGTACAGGCAGGTGCCCAGTTGCTGCCAGCCAGTACTGATCACCTACTACCTCTGCTCCCTCCCCCTTATCACAGCCTCTTACACACTCCTGTCCTTTCAGACAGTCTGTCCTCTGCCCTGTAACTCCAAGCCCCTTTCCTCTCCCACTGTAATGCAGCATCCCCTGAAGAGAGGCCTCTAACCCCAAGAGTCTCTGTTGCTGCCCCAGGAGTCTGAGCTGACACATGACAGCAACACGTGCACCATACGTCACAATCAGTGCAGCAAGGCAGGACACACAAATCCATACACCACGGGCTATGACACACAAAGAACAGTCTCTTTAGCAGAAAAAGATTCAGTTCCCAGCTCTTTGAAGTCCATTTCGTCAGATATTGTGCCACAGCATTGGCTTGTGACTCTCTACAGCACTTAGACCCTTATTGTGTGGCTATCAGACCATAGCATGGGCTATAAAATGCCACTTAGGGCCTGGCAAAGCCCCCTGGATGGGTTCCTGCTGCTTTCCCTGAGTACCCTGCTCCCCTGATCTAAAGACACCTTTTATTGCTGTTCAACAGTGAGTACATGAAGATGCCTGTGCTGGGTGGGAAAAAAATCCTTTCTTCTGCTTATGAAAGAAGGTTCGCATGGAATCGCTTAATTGCGTCTGGACATTAGTAAATCGAAGGTGTGGTGAGCTAATTAAGAAGCTTGAGAGTATTTTTCATTTGCTACCTCTTTCTAACATTCCTGCAACTGAATATCTTCTTTTTTATTTTAGAGACAGACTGAAAAATAACAAAATTAGATAAACCTCTTTTGGTTCTCTGAGTTTTTGGTTGATTTCCTTGCCCTCTCTAGTGGCATTATGGGCATCAATTTAACATGAAGTATGACTGCCATGTAACCCCAGCAGAGATTTTTAGATATGCTGTGCACACCTCTTCCTTCCTTTTCAGGTGCCCATCTGTATGTGAGTCCAGTGGTACTGCTCTCAGTATTCTGGGGGGGCAGAGCTGAGGGGAAGGCCCGTGGGACACCCCAACTAGGCTACAAAGCCCATTCCCTACTGCAGCTTTACAGATAGATTAGTTCCTAGGTGAATCATAAAAGTGACGGAGAAGTGACCAGAACTATGTAAGGAGAAGCTACAATGAAGTTGCAGTTACTACAAGTGCCTAATGCCCAAAAACTGAGAAATGGGGGAATAGAGAAGTAGCAGCAGACAGGTTAAATTTTGCTTTGAATTTCTCCTTATTTTGAGTGCCCTTGAGGAGGCTGAAGGAAAAACATGTATGTGGAAACCACATAAACTGCAATATCAAATTGCAATTGTATTTAAAATCATCTTAAGCAAAACCTCTTAATAATTTTCTTCTCAAAAATTACTTTTCCACTATACAATGTTCTTACAGTTTCTCATTACCTAAAGAAAAAACAATTTGCACCTAAGAGCAGGTTGCTTGTTTGCTAAAGCTCTAGCTTTTGTTTCCTTCAGGAAACACTGGAATTATCTGGGCTCACTGTGTGCTAAGGTTACACCTTACCCCCTGCTGTGGCTTGTGCTTCAATGTCATGAAACTTCCAACTCTATTATTTCAGTGAATCGTTTTTCAAGGCAGCTGTACAAAATGTGTGTATAGGCAGGTGGGGTTTTTTTTGTTTTTTTTTTATATACCCAGACCTTCCTGCTCCTTGGAATTCCTTTACTTCTGTAACAAGTAGTTTTAAGAGTCCAATTATCTGGTATAGAAACTTTTCTGTTCATAACTCCGGAGACATGACCATGCACTGGGAGCAGCTGCACAAAGCTCTGCTCTAATATACCCCTCACAACCACTTACACTTACAGGTAAGCTGGGGTGTTAAGCTCCTTCAGGAACTGCTGAGGGGCTGAGAGTGAACTACTTTGAACAGTTTTTCTCATATAAAAAGAGCAGAAGTCTCTTAGCTATTCTCTTGCACAACATAAGGAACTCTTGCTTACATCCTGAAGCTGCTTGACTATGCTGGTTCCTAAGTTCTTACCTCGGGTTTGGTGAAGTTCCAGTCTTAGAAAATGGAGGGAAGAAAGAGCATTAAGCATATGGTCCCCAAAAATGCAAACCAGCTAGGAGTGGGAGCAGGGTAGAACTGTTGTTGGGGCTGCTTTGAAATCTGATAGCCCAGAAATTTAAGTATTTACCCAGGAGTTTGGTTTTTGAGTCTCTACTACCTTTAATTCAAAGATGGGTCTCAACTACTAACAGAAAGACCATGCAAAATGGATGTCTGTTTGTCTGGTTTGTACCTTCTCCACTGTGTATTTCACTGCAGTTATTGCAAGTTCAGAAATCTGCCAGGAGAAGAAACTCTGAAGGACCTGTCTCAGAGCAATCAATTGCTATCATCATCTGAATGCTTGTTTAGAGGATTCTGGAGACCGAAATCAGAGTCCTGCTTTAAAAAAAGTAGTTCAGATATAGGAACAGTTCATCTTCACCTACCCCTCCTCTAGCTGCTTGGGAAACAAGGAGTGGGATGTTTGCCTTGATCCAGTTTTTCCATCAGATTTCTCTTTGTATCAGAGAAGTTTTAAGAGAAAGACTGCCAAGCATAAGCACAATTCTCTGCTTGTTCTCTTTTGTCAGTAACACTCCAAGCTGCTCCATGTCCATCCAGGAATGCTCTCCACAGCCACAATTTTATCTCAAACTCTGGGAAAAAGACTTACTTTCAGAAACAGCAAGTGGTAGGTCTTGGTTTGGGACATGACTACAGATCAAAGAGCAGCTATTGCAAGTATATATCCATGTATATCAACTTGGATAATGGATAACCTCACCAAGAGCTCTGGTCAGCAAGCTGCTATAAGACAAGATGCATGATTACAGCATATCTAAATTACTGAACAAGACAACAGCAAAAAAAGTCTGTTGAGATCTTCAATTCATCATCACCCACTGACAGAAAAGCAATTTCCCTGAAGACTGTTCTGTGGAAAAATTCAGATAGAATCTGGCTGAAAACAGGCTGTATCTTGATTTTTAGTGTTGAAGAATTTAATTTCATTTTTAGAATTTTTGTCATGTAGGATTTTTAATTGTGTACCATTTTAATCATGTTGGAAAGGTATTGATATAACTCACCTTGGTGTATCGAAAATTCACCAATTGTGCAATTTTTAGAAATAAGGTTCTAATTGTTTTATATGGGTGGCAATATAGGCTATGACAAGACATAATTCAGGAAGATTCCATATGTTTCCATATAGGACCATATCTCAGTCATTTTCCCCACCCTACACTATTTACACCTGCGCATGCTGTAGACTACAACTGAAAATGCATCTGATGCAAAAACAAATCCACAAGCTTCATCCTTCATATTTTTCTAACTGCCAAGAAATGGAAACTGCAACATTCAAAACAGGTTATTATTAGCTCTTTAGTAAGTCTTCCAGTCTACAACTTGATCGTTTGGAAATTCAGTTCAAATTACTATTGTGTTGAATGACTGCCCATGAAGGAATAGGTAGTAGTATTCTTATGGAGAGTTACACTGAGACGATCTCTTTCTTAGTAAGTATTAATTTCAAGTGCTGATTCTAAAGAACAGTGATGAAAAAAGAAGAAAACAACTACTCAAGACCACTAGGCATCTTTTCCCAGAAGAAATCTGGAATTCATCATTTTTACATGGATGTAACCAGAGTAATCTGCATGATTTGTAAACCTGGAGGTTATTTTCACCTCCTGCATGAGTTAGCTAGAAGTAGAGAATATTTTTATGTTTTTAAATGAACTAACATTTCCACATCTTGAAATTTTGATAAAGTAGGGATCTAAATGCAGGCCTGATTTACTTTTCTCACAGTGACCTTAATAAGCATCACATAAAAGATGTGTAGATGTGGCACCAGGGACACAGCTGAGTGGTGGACTTTGCAGTGCTGAGTTGGACTCAATGATCTTAAAAGTCTTTTCCAACCTAAACGATGCTATGATTCTTTGTTATTCCCTTGTTTCCTTTTGTATTTAACTCTTGGTGAACAGATCCTTAATACATTTGCTCCAACAAAGCTTGTCTGGTTGTTGCCATTACAAAAGTCTACACTCCAGAAGGAAACCAAACCCTTTGGCAACCATGAAATTTTCACACAAAAGCTCAGGTTAGTTCTTTAATGGGCCAGATACCTTACATGCAGTCTAGGGATGGAAAAAAAATCAGTTCCACAGGCATAAGATACATAATTTCAACTTGGTGTTTTTAATATCATTTAGAAATGGTTCTTAATAACATAAACATGTTTACTTAATGATTCACTTTGCCTTAATTACAGAGTACCAAGGTGTTGGGATTCCATCCTGCATTATTGCATAAGGTCTTCTTAAAACAGATTATTATTTCTGCAAAGGATAATTAACTGCAAGAATACATCTTTAGACCATCCCCACAGCTTTCTTGCTTTAGCTGACTAGCAAGTACAGTGTTATGAAAAAGAAGCAGATTTCTTATGCTGAAAAACATCACGGTCATGCCTCTTTACTTCTTCTAGCTGGATCATTGGGAATTGTACTTGTTTTTCAAACCATTTGGCTACTGTGAGAAGCTGCTGCTCCTGGAATGCACGTCCTATGAACTGAAGCCCAACCGGCAAGCCTCTCTCTGAAAGAGCTGTAGGGACATTTATGGCTGGCAGTCCTGAAGGAAAAAAAGATACACATACAAAGACTTACTATTAAACAGTAGTTGGAGTAATTTTTGTAACAATTCTAAGAGAAGCAGAAGAAAAATTATGTAGCGGAGAAAGACTAGCTAAAATAATTTGAGTCAATGAACTAAGGATACTGCTAGGTGATCACAAGAAATTAATTAGACTGATTTAAGGAGCCATCATCTCTGAAAAGATAATCAGTTCTCCTTAGAAAGAGATTCAAGTTTTGTCTCCAGAACTTGAACGAATTCATCTTACCTGCAGCCCACACTCAGCTCCAGAGTGCCCTACTTTAAAATCTAGTCTTACATTTTCAAGCATTTAATAAACCATCCTTACACTTGGTTATCACTGTAAGAATTACAACATGGGAGTGAAATATCTTGATTCTAAAGAAGAGGTGAAATAGCTAAAGGGACCAGACATTAAAAATTGCTAGGCAGGGGAAAACATAGTTTAATACCTGTCCCTACTCACCAGCCATGTTTGCAGCCTGTGTCAGGATGTCATTTTGTGCACTGCGGGTTCTGTTGTCTTCTTTGATGAATTCCTTATATGGTGCTGCATCACTCAGAGTGGTAGGAGTGAGTAAAACATCAACACCGCTCCTGAAAACCTTCACAAAGTCATTGGCAATGAGACGTCTGACTTTCTGTGCCTTGACAAAGTACTTCTCATAGTTCCTAGAAAGAAATACGGACATGAGGGCATGACACTTTAATTCCAAAAATGCAGAATCTAATTTCTTAGGTACTGTAGAAAAGACAAGCCCAGTATTCCTTTTGGATAAAATTTTGACTCACACTGGTACTTAAGTTTTTGATATACTGTATGCTTAGTCACCATACATGGTGTTTATGCTCTCATAGCAGCAAAGTTGTCAGAGAAGGAAGAGATGAGGGCATTCAGCTAAAGAAAAGTGAGGGGAAAACAAAACCCTTACAAATCAAAACAATCGTTACAAAATCAAAACAATACTTTTATGACCATTTGGAAACTAAACTGTATATTAAATTTCATAGAATCAGAATATCCTGAGCTGGAAGGGACCCTTAGGACTATCTAGTCCAACTCCTGGCCCCACACAGGACAACCCAAAAA